CGTTTTATTCACCTTGAAATTATCAAGTTATTAAATTTTTTTTTCAACATATTTTTATTATTTTAGTTTTTTACTTTATTATTGCTAATTATTTTTAGAATAGGTGTAATTTAAGCAAAATTTGATTACTCAATTGTTCACTATCCTTATTTGCTATTGATAGGATTATTTTTAGGTTTACATACTTTAATTACTTGTTTAGATTTGAATTAGATTAAGCGAGACTAAATAAATTATAAAACTCAATAGCTTATCAATAAAATATCTTTTTGATCTTGAATGTAATAATTAGATATGTTGAATACATATTTTAAAAAAAATTTTCTTTTATATTTTTATTATATTCTTAAATCTGTAATTTAAAAATTTATACATGAATTATTGAATGATTTTGAGCTTCTACTAAATCTTCATACTTTTATTCTATACTTACATTAAAACCACAATTGAAAACAATAAAGAAGATGGACTCTATCCAAAATAATTTAATAGATTATTTTCTTGTAAATATATCAACAATAAATCACTAATTACCATAAATATAATAAAAAATCTTTAGGTTATTAAGCTATTTAAAAAATATAGAATTTAATGCAAGATCTAATGAGAATTTGAGTTAAAGTTAAATGTATATTTTTTAAATTAAGGCAATCATTTTTTATAAGATTACTTGAACTGTGCACCAATACAAGACTTCTAAATGAGCAAAGTTTTAGTAAAAATAAATGAAGAATGTTTATTGAGTAAAGGAAAATATTTCAAAAAATTAAAAAAATATTTGGAGTAAGAAAATCAAAATATAAAAAGTTAAATAAACGTTAGTATGACTTGATTTCATTATTAATTGAGAGATTAAAAATCTGTAAGGGGAAGTTAAATACTAAAAACAAGATGTCCAATTAATAAACAATTAAAAAATAAGTTTAATCTTAATTAATAATATGAATAAAACATTAAATCTTTATAACAATGTATATCGGTTATAATAGTTCATATGTGTTTCTTGATTAGAATATCTTATAAGAATAATTTATATTAGTAAGAATTTTCTGGATATTTTTATATTGCTGAATCTTAATGTTCCAATGCTTCTTCTAGTCTGTTCAATTTTTATAGAGTAATAGCTAAAATATCAACTATTGTGAAGTATACCTTTGCCATTGTAATGGTGAGAATCATCCGGATTTTTTTACATTGCTGAATCATAATTTTCTAAAGCTTCTTCAAATCTGTTCATTTTATCTAATGTATTAGCTAAAATATCTTCCATTTTGAATTATACCTTTATTAAAATAATATATTGAATCGTCTGGGTATAATTGTATTGCTAAATTATAATATTCTAAAGCTTATTTAAATTTGTTTATGTTAAATAATGTATCAGCTAATATATCATTCTTTTTGAATTATAACTTTATTAAAATAATATCTTGAATCTTCTGGATTTTTTGATATTGCTGAATTATAATATTCTAAAGCCTATTTAAATCTGTTCATTTTATCTAATGTATACGCTAAAATATCATCCATTTTGAATTATACCTTTGCCATTATAATAATCAGAAACTTCCGGATTTTTTTATATTGCTGAATCATAATTCTCTAAAGCTTCTTCAAATCTGTTCATTTTACTTAAAATCTATTTTGATAGCTAAAATATTATCCATTTTGAATTTTACCTTTACCATTGTAATAGTCAGAATTTTCAGATTTTTTTTATATTGCTGAATCATAATTTTCCAAAGCTTTTTCAAATCTGTTCATATTTGATAGAGTAATAGCTAAAATATCAGCAATTGTGAATTATACCTTTATTAAAATAATATTTAGAATTTTCTGGATTTTTTATATTGCTGAATCTCAGATTCTTAATTTTCAATTATCACATAGAAAAACATTTAAAAAGAAATTAAAATTGTTCAGCAGATCAAAGATAGAAAATAAATGATACTTTTGTTTTTATACAAATTAATAAAAATCAATCTTATTTAAATTATTTTAAGTGTTCTATTATCAAACATCCTTTAGATATAAATAGCGATTTTAAATTCTTGCCTTAATAATTTTCAAAAACTCCTCTCAAAATTAAAGCTCCTTAAACCTCCAAAATTGGATTTTAACATATTCTTTGTAATGTACGATCAAAGTTAGCTAAATAGAAATATCAAAAATACGATTTTTTAAAATGGGTTGACTTTAATATGGCAATTTAAACTATGAAAGAAGTTGTCTGTAACAATTATCTTGAGGTAGAATCTCTTTTGATGTCTTAACATTCCATAAACGGATAGAGTTATCTGAACTATCAGACACTAATGTATTATCAATAGAGGAACGGACTAACATAACAGAATTTGAATTGCTCTCTTTTTTGTCTTTTTATTATACTTTCTTAACATTCCTTACTTCATAATTGGCAGCCAATAATGTGGCATCCTCATTAAAGACATCTAATTTGAATTTTTATTGATTTGTACTTAAGTCCCATAAACGTATGGACTTATCATCACTTCCAGAAGCTAAAATGAAACCGTCATTAAAGAAGCATAATGATCGAACATAATCATTATGAATATTTAATATGTTAATTTAATAACTTGTCTTAATATCCCATATACGAATAGAGCTGTCTGAGCTGCCAGATGCTATTAAGTTATCATCAGGCGAGAAGCAGACAGACAGAACTTAACACCTATGACCATCTAATTTGGCTTGTTATTGTCCTGTCTTAACATCCCATAATCGAATCGACTTATCCACACTACACGATGCTAATTTATTGCTATCATGAGAAAAGCAAACTGATAAAACCCATTCACTATGTCCAAATAATGTAATTTTTTTAACTCCTGTCTTGGGATCCCAAAAGATAATAGTCAAATCAATACTTCCAGATGCTAAAGTATTTCCATCTGAAGAGTAGGAAATAGATGAAACCCAGTCATTATGGCCATTCATTTGAGTTTATTTCTACAGAGAATTAACATCCCATAATTTAATCGACATATCTTTGCTACATGATGCAATTGTTGAGCCATCAGGAGAGAAGCAAGTAGATAAAATTCCGCCATTATGACCATTAATTATGGACAAGCATTCACCATTCTAAACATTCCAAAAACGGATAGATTAATCATCACTGCCAGAAATTAAAATGTCACCTAAAGGAGAAAAGCTAACTGAATAGATAGATCCTGTATGACCAATTAATTTAGCTTTTAATTATCCAGTTTTAGCATCCCATAAACAAACAGACATATTGTCACTACCAGAGGCTAGAATTGTAGAGTCAGGAGAGATGGATAAAGTTAACACAGAATTAGCAAAGTCAGCATAATTGTCATGAGGAGAGAAACGGACTAATTTGACATTATTTGAATGATCCGATTGGGATTTATATTATTGCGTCTTAACATCTCTTGAATTAGTTGAAGTGTCATAACTGCAAGATGCTAATGTAGTACCATCAGGAGAGAAACAGACTGAAATAATTTCGTTAGAAAGAATATCAAAATTTGCTATTAATAATCCTGTCTTAACCTCCCATAAATGAATATACTTATCATAACTCTTAGATGCCAATGTAGTACCATCAGGAGAGAAACAGATTTAAATTGCTCTTGAATGACTAACTAATTTCGTCATTAATGATCCTGTCTTAATATCCCATAACTAAATAGAGTTATCATAACAACCAGATGCTAATATCGTACCATTAGGAGAGAAGCAGTTTGGTATCACACGATTTTAGAGACGATCTAATTTAGCTTTTTATTATCCTGTTTTAATATCCCATTAACGAATAGAGCAATCTGAACTACCAGATGCTAATGAACAACCATCAGGAGAAAAACAGATTGATTGAACTTCTTTTGAATGAACCCCTAATTTGGCTTATAATTATCTAGTCTTAACATCCCATAAACGGATAGAACAATCTCCATCATTTTTACATCCTCCACCTGAAGCTAATGTAGTTCCATCTGAAGAAAAATTGACAGAATAAACTTTTTCAGAATGACCATCTAATTTGGCTTTTTATTATCCTGTCTTAGTATTCCATAAACGGATAGACCAATCATCACTACCAGATGCTAATGTAGTACCA